TCCCCCTTCTGTTCTGCCATGTGATTTGTCCTTTTCATCTTTGTTCATTTTTTTAATTGTATCCTTTGGTATATATGGTTGTGACTACTTTCTTCCACTATTTGATCTGAGGAAGTGGGTCTGGCCCACGAAAGCTCATCATCTAATAAACCATCTTGTTAGTCTTTAAAGTGCTACATTGTCCTGCATTTTGCTTCAGCTACCCCAGACTAACACGGCTACATTTTTATCACTATTTTAATACAGTGTGACAGAACCATGCCAGTGAGCTACCATAGTCTGATGGAAGATAGATCTGCTGGGTGCTGGGTGAACAGTTTTCTTTTCCCTGAGTAACCAGGGAAGGGGCTACTGCAGTGCAATCAGGAAAGAACCTGGGTCCAATTAAAAGCTTGCCAGAAGCAGCAGGCTATTCAGAACATCTGCAGCCTGTTAAGGTACCAGGAGAATGGTCCTGGGAAGAGTTGGTTGGGGAAGTGGCTCAGGAAAAAGCTGCGACTCTGGTGGTAGAGGAATTATTACCTGCTGCCGCTGCCATTAGGATCTCTGGGCTGGAACCTGGCTGACAGGGTGAGCCCAGGCTCCCCCCCAGCCCGACAACTACAAAGGTAACCCCAGAAGGGTATGTCTGAGACTAAAGGGGTTTGCCCCAGAAATCTATTTGACTGGCCTGTGATGAGGGTGGTTCTGTAGGCTGTGGCCCTTTCCTCTAGTAAAAGGCGAGAAGCTCTATGAAGGGCCACAGCGAGCCTCTAAGGCAAACACTATCTGCCTACAAGTGCAGGACCCCTGAGGCAAGGCCAGAGCTCTGCCACAATAGACAATCTGTCTTTGTGGTTTTCTTGTCAATATTGCTGTTTTTTAGCTCCCTGTCTAAAAGCTCCTCAAAGATTGTAATGTTCTACAGTTAGCAGCTTCAGATTTGTTACCATATGGCTGGTCATTTCTGACAAATTTGTTTAATTCTATAATTGTTGTGAACAGTTGATACGTAATGTACAAAATCAAAATACCAAATCACAAACCAGAGCCTGTCTGACGTATTTGTAATGAAATAATGCCGGACCAGGGAGGTCCAACCTGTACTTCTGCAAATGTTACTTTCTTTAATAAGTCTTAAGAAACTTAAAGATGTGCACTGAGAAGAAAATGTTCAGGAAATTAATTGTGATTGTGTTTATTTTTAGATCGTGCTATTTACAGAATACAAAAGGGCAGCTTATTTTCTGAGGAGGGTTAGCAGTACTCCTCTGTAAGCAAAACCTTTCTTTGGGAAATTTCCCTCAGTCACAAGTCCCCAGAGGTGGCCAGGATTTACTGTGGTCTTTGCTCATGCACCTCACTTATGGATTAAGCTAGCTTTGGTCAAAGAGACAATATACAGCATGCATAGCTGCTGAGACAGTGAGACACCGTGCCAAAACTGCAAGAGACTTTCTTGGATCTCAGAACAGTACGTCTGCGATATGTCTATCCTAAGCATAAGTCTAGAGAACATTCAAGCACAGGGAATACGTTTGGCAATAAAAGTACGTTCATTTTTCTGTGAAGGAAAGCTCAGGTGTTATCTGTAACGTGAGACAACATTTGAAAATCCTGACTTTAAAAAACAAAAAAATCTGGTTTCTTTAATTTGCCTTTGGATTTTTGAGCCTTGAGGGCATGCTCACTTCATTTTTGCAAGCTTTTCTCTGCCACCATGAGTGCTAGAATAATTCTTAAACTGAGATTTTTTGTGACATCTCTCAATTCCAGTAAGGAGAGGGGGGATAGAATCACGAGACTTGTCATAATTGTCACTGTGTAGGCCTTTCAGATGTGACTTCAGTGTGGTCTTTTTCAGCTCTGGCATGTATGAACTGATTCCATTCATCTTTGTACTGTGTTGCCTCTGAAGCCTTATGATACTTCTCGGTCCAGTTTTTTCCCTAACACCATAAACATGAAGCTGCATGTGTGTACCCCCACATACGCACAATTATGTATGCAGACTGGGTAATTGATCGCACATGCAGCTGGCCACTTAAACAAAGGCCAGAAATAGCAATAGGTCCTGCAAATATCCTTTGCTGTTTCAAGCCAATGGAAATGCAAAAGCTGTTACTATATAAGAGCCTACATATCTTTTTGCATGCCTTCTTATGAAACAAGTGCAGTTTCGGTGTGCAGTGAAGATAGGATATGGCTCTAGTTTTTTTTAACCCCAGCCAAATGTTACAATAAAAATGTAATACAGTGCCATCAACAAAATGAGTTTGACGTCTAGTTCAGTGAATAATGTACAGGTTGGACCTCCCAAAACTGGGACTCCCTCATTCAGCAGCAGACCACAGGTGTTCCTGGACCAGGGAGTCCTGGCTAGGAGCCCTGGTGGCTCGGAGCCCTGCGGGGCTGGTGGGAACTGGCATTGGAGCCCCAGTTGCACAGCAAGGGGCCGTGTTAGCCTTAATAGCAGGGTTGGGGATGTGGCAGCCCTGATAGCAGGGCCAGGGCTGTAGACTAGTGGAGCCGGGGCTGGAATGGGGCAGCCCCAGCAGTGGGGCTGGAGCTGGAGACAGGGCAGTCTTGGCTGTCGTGGCTGGCAGTGGGGAGGGAAAGTGATCTGGGGAGCTGGTATCAGGGGACTCCCTCTGGTCCAGCAAATTCCCTAGTTCGGGACCAGCAAGGTCCAAACTGTAATTGTGTCTGGTGCTTGATTATAATATTGAAAACAGGCTATGCTGATGTTGAAATCTACTTACATTGCTTTACAGCTGCCATTCCCTGTATAAAGTAGCATGTCTGAAGCAGCTCTTCCCCTCAAACACACTGTAAATAAAACTGTTTTGTTTTCTTAACAGTTGTTTCGAGAAGTACGAATAATGAAGATATTGAATCATCCCAGTATAGGTAGGAATTGGATTTCTTTTTGTTGTGACTTTGATGTTATGTTCTTAGATGTTATGTTCTTATTTGTTTTATTCGAATATATTTTGTATATTTGTTTTTTATTTACCCAGTAAGTCTTTAAGATGGATGAACAGTATGCACTTAGGGCCAAATCCTGCTCTTGTCTTGTTTACTTCAGGGGGAGTACTTGCTCGAGTACGGCAAGCATAAATTTGGCTCACAGGAAAGCATAAATTTGGCTCATTGTTCAGAGAAAATGGCTAATGCATAGCAAGGCAGTGGTTTATGATAGCTAGTAGGGGATCTGGCTCGTACTCTCTGTTGCTCAGATGAGTTTAAAAAGCCTTCGAGCTAGCTAAGTGAGTTCTGCCACTTACGCTAAGGGTATGTCTAGACTACAGGCTTTTGTCGACAGAAGGTTTGTCGACAGGTACTGTCGACAAACCTTCTGTCGACAAAGAGTCTAGATTACATTCAGTTCTGTCGACAAAGCAAGCTGCTTTGTCGACATGGCAGTGTAGACGCAAAGGACAGTTTAGATGCAATAATGCCTTCTGTCGACAGAACTCTGTCGACAAAAGGCGTTATTCCTCGTAAAATGAGGTTTACCAGCGTCGACAAAACTGCTGAGTTCTCGAACTCAGCGGTAGTGTAGACGAAACTAGGATATAGGCCCAAGAAATCTGCCGATTGCTACCTTCAGAGAAACCAAGTTACAAAGTATGTAATTTTCCTTCTCTGCTTCAGTTGCCCCCACCTTCAGAGCCCTACTTTGTGATGACAATTCTTCTGGCTGAGGAGGGCTGGACAGTCTTGTTCCAGAGACAGTTAATGTTCCTGAATCGGCCAGAGGGCTTGTTACATACAAGGTATATAAGTTACTACATAATAGGTGTTCCCTCTACTCTGTTCTTAGAATTGTGTGTGCTGCATTTCCAGTATTCTAAGATCTTACAGATCACCCTCTGTCCCTCCCGTGACAATGGTAGTTTTGTTCTATAATATTCTGACCGAGGAGCCCTTCAGATTGTAACAATTAGAATATCTGGTCAGTTTGACACCTAAACTTTGCCTTTTTAAGTTGATGAAAAACTTGACAATTTCTCTAACCCTGAGTTGTAATAGAGAAGTAATTTACTTGGTTTTTTTATATATATTTTTATAAGAATTCCCGTGTAGAACTAAAACCACTAATTTTAGCATGAATTTTATTTTTGGATTGTTTGTGAAATGCTTCTGAGAAAATTATAGAAGATTTTATATATCCATGATATTCTTGCAATGCAATCCTTTTTTTCCGCCTCAAAACTGTCTAAGTTTTCTAACGAAAAGAATATAAATCTTTGTTCTGGATTGATGGCGTCAGTGGTTAATAAGCTTTATTAATTTAAAGAATAAGTGTTTGGGCTGTGTTTTTTAAAAATTAATTAATTTTTGCTGCTTGCTGCAATCTTTCATTCCTTTTTCTTCCAGTAAAATTATTTGAAGTTATTGAAACAGAAAAGACACTGTATTTGGTAATGGAATATGCCAGTGGGGGTAAGTAGTTTTTGAACTCTCGTTCTGTGGGTAAACTAAAAAGGGACCAAAAATCTTCATGCACAGATGCACAGCTGAAACTAACCTTGACATGTGGGGAGGTATTATGTCTTGTTTATTGCACGTTGGGTATCTTCCTCCTGGAGTCCCTCCTGAGTCTCTAACCAGAACTTTTAAGGTACAGTTGTGCTGTCATTTAACAGTATGATGCACATTACAGATGTTTGTGTAATTGCTGATTTTTATGAAATACCAGAAGATAATATGACTTGAATTCTAGCAGAAGCTCAGTCCTTATTTGTCTGCCATTCTGATACTTACATCAGCAATGGGGAGAGCATCTGCCTTTCATCTTGAACGTATGTGTCAGAGCAATGCAACAGAGGCAAGAAGGTCTAGGATTTGGGGGATGAGAACTGGCCAGGCAGATTAAAAAGAAAGCCAGATGGATTGTGGAAACATACTTGGGAAGCTGCCTTCCATCTAGATGAGAAATGTTGTCTGGAAAGGGAGTAGAGTTACCACCAACTGGAGATGGCCGTTTGTCATATACGGGGGAGAAAGAGGGACTAATAACAACGAGAATCTAAGAGCCATTTGGTGAAGAGCTTTTTGGTCTTAAACATCTCCCAAAACTGATGTGAAGTCGTGCAGTACAAATCTGATGCCAAGTTTTATATCTAGAATCGTATGCGTTTTACATAATTATTTTTTGTTAGTATAGCTGCACTTTTAAATTCTTCTTTCATTTAATGCCCATTATAATAGATTAATTTTTATTAATTGAAGTCTTGCTAGGAAGGAACCCGTTCTCGTAAGTCTACAGTAACTGTTGAAAACAAATATGAGCAGTGAAAACAAATATGAGCAGTAAAAAGGAATCTTTCCTGACTGCTTCCCTCCCTCTCCTCAAGACTGTGGGCATATTTGAAATAGTTTTAATATACAGACTAACTAGTTGTCTAAAACCTGCAGGCAGTGTCTTTCCTCCATAGCCCAGTTGCATGGGTAGATTTTTACATATGGATATATTGAGTTTTTATATAGAGGGGGCCAGATCCTCTCTTGAAGCTGATGGAGCTACAACTGTTAATATTAGCTGAGGATATGGCCCAAATTCATAGTATGTGTTTGTTTCTTCTTGATGATCTGGTGTAAATAATATCTGAGCAATATAACTTCTGCTTTGTTTTTTTTCTGGTTCAGGAGAGGTGTTTGACTACTTAGTTGCACATGGAAGAATGAAAGAAAAAGAGGCACGTGCAAAATTTAGGCAGGTATGAAATTTTCTGTTTTATAGTATCTTAAGTGAACTTCAGCTCAAATATTAGCACATTTTTAAAGTAAAAGTTCATAGTTATAATGATATGTATTAAAGCTAGAATGGAAAAATCCCTCGAGGGGAAAAAAATACTTCGTTCCTGAGCATACTTTAAAAATAGTAACAGAATGTTTAAGTTCTTGTTAATAGATATTCATGAGAAACCAAATTTCTTCCACTATGACTCACTTCAGATTTTATTAACTCTTTGAGTATCCTGCAATAACTTTTCTTCAAAGAGGTTCTTATATGACTATATAAGCATTTAGTTTACTCATTTATAATATATTGTGTATTTTATTAGGGGTTCACTTTAAAGTATTATAACACCTTTACTTCATTTCTGAATGCTTCACGCATGATTACTGCTGAGAGGATTAGTGGAGGGTTATACTTGTGCACTTATCAGCTTATATCTAAATAAACAAAATTATAAAACTTGCTGTTTCGTTTTTTTCAGAATTAAGATGCAAAATAACCATATAAAAGAACTAACAAATTAACTTATTAGCTGAAGTCTCCTCATATAAATTTTTCATTTCATTATAGCTTCTGTAATAGAGAAAATTAAACTTAGTTATGTTTTAGACTTATTTTTATTACATGTTCACAGTTTCCTCTAAAATTCTCCAGTTGAGCTAAAAGTATATCCTTTTGTCTTCCTAGAAGAGAGATTTTTGGGAAACTGAGCAAAGCCCATTCAGTCATTGAGAGTATATGAGGAGAGGCAAAAAGAGCATTTCTATATTTCTTAAAATTTTAAAAATCTTAATTACATCATTTTGTGATATATATTATACAGTATTAGCAAATGCTGTTTGAATAAGTATATACAGATTTTTCTGTACAAAATCTTTTGTCCTGAAGTTTTGGATGCTTAACCTAGAATAAATAACATAAAAGTACCTTTTACATTTTGTGTGTGTCTTTTGGGTTAAAAGATTAACATCAACAAATTAGTCATGTATAATGTAGTACGTGAATAGAATAGAATAAAAAAGTTATGGCATATCATTCACTAAAATGAAAACATAATGGACAAGTTTATAAATGTATATTCTTTGAGTAATTGTCGAAAGGTATTCCATTTAGAGTGTTTGCGTGCATTCAGCACTAAAGATTTGGAACATTTTAAACTAGCAGTATTGTTGGTTTGTGCTTACTGTCCAGAGCCCTTGATGCAACCTCTTGGCTGTGTGTATAAAATGGCCACTGTGGGCCAAACACCTCAGTAACTCCTCGCTGTGGCCTAAGATGAGATGAAATGACTATCACTGTCCATTTCTTCTATGAGTTTATGGGTTGTGTATGATTTGCACAGAATTAGCTAGCAAATACGTATAATTTATTCATTATTCTTAGAAGTTTCATTTGGATAACTTTGTTCTTAATTTTTTAGTTGCCTAGTACTGGGCTCTCAGTCTTCATTGCTAAGACAAAATCTCTGTTTCAAATACTGCCCTTTATATGATATTGGCATCCCACTAGCAAATGTTCCTTTTGCTAAGGGGAAGGGCATATACCTTGCAAATGCTCAATTTGCTGTTTGTTTCAAAGTGGATACAAAAGTTCAGAGAGACAACGCTGAAAATGTTGTTTTCCCCTCAATGATTGAGGCCAGCTTCATATTTGGGCTCCCAGGATCTTTCTCTTTGTGAGTAGACCTACTTCTCTGCTAAAATGAGCAGTGGGTATTCCTGAGTATTAAAAGCTCTGTCTCTCCTAATTCTTTGTCAAAGGTAGGAGTTCCAAAAAAACATCAGAGTGGGTGGAAGACTCTACTGTTATATTTTTTATAATGAGCTTCATGAGGGCGCTGGAGCACAGGCTCAGGCCAATAAGCATTGCTAGTCAAAAACCAACAAGCAAAAAAACCCCCCTGATCTCTGGCACAAACACTGAAGAGAATTTCAGTTATTGTAGGGATTCTTACACTCCCTATATGTTAAAATACTAAATTCTCCACTAACTTATGTAAGCAGGCAAAATTAAGTATAAGATGTTAAAAAAAGCAACCTTAATTATAATAGGGATTCAAATTCTTATTGAAAATGTTGGTGTTTCAGATTGTATCTGCTGTGCAATACTGTCATCAAAAGTGTATTGTTCATCGTGATCTCAAGGTAGGTTGCTGCTTTTTTAAATTTTTACTTAACTCATTGATGGTATTAGAGCAGGTTCACCTAACTCTTTCCATGTAGCTGTCAATGCTGCAGCATGAGTGCTTCAAACACACAAATGAAATTAACTTTACAACACACCTCAGAAGGGGATAATACTGTTGTCTTCATTTCATATTTGGGGAATCAAGATGTATAGAAATTAAATGGCTTGCCCACCATGACAAGGAAGCCTGTGACAGAGATAGAATGGAAAAAAGGCTCTCTAGAGCTACTGTTGACCTTTACCTCAGGACCAAAAATTTAAAACCTTACAAGTAAGGATATGATTCTGTCATGGAGAATTTGTTTGGGACCTCTATGACTTCCCAAGGCTACTCCAGCTATTTCCTGGGTCACCAATGCTGCAGCTGGCTAGAGCTGGGTCAGCCGTTGCTGCAGGAGCAGTGGTGTAACTAGAGAAGCTGCAAATCCCAGCAGCACTCTGTTTGTCATCCCCTCCCCATCCCTAGGTATTTTTAATAAGTCAGGGATAGTTTGCAGGCTTCTGCAAATTTTTGTGTTTTGCCTGTAGCCTCTTCCTCACTTTTACCAAAAAATAATCATGACAGCATCGTAACCTTACTAATGATATACAAATATGTGTAAATTGAAGCTGAAAACGCTCATTTTTATGCATATTTATTATACTCATGAATACTTCAATTATCATGGTTTCAAGGTTAAGAAAATTTATAGTAAAATGGTTAAACTAATCACATGGTTAAAACCCCACATTTCTTACCAATTTTAATCCTGTTTTTCTCCACTCTACAAATATTTGTGGTGCATGGAAGCCGGCAGTGTCTGAAAGCTTTCGTTCACTGTGCTGGCTTTATTGCTCTTTGTAAATAGTTATTGTCAGCAAAGAGAGTTAGCTTAGCAATTTGGCTATTGTTTCCTCTTCTTCGCCTTGTTTATTTTCTGTACTTTTTGTAGGGAACTTCTGTCTCTCAGGATCTACCTAGCATAGTATCTTGCTTGATGTGATGGAGCCAGAATTGCCCTTCTAATGAGGCAGTAATGCCCCTTAACTTTGGTCACACCAAATGTGTTTTGTGTTTGGGGAGGGCATGTTGTTGACATTTGTAAGTCATTCTCCATGGAGGATGCAGAAAGTTAGTGATGCACGTTCTTGATGGAAAAATCCATTTTCCCTCTTAAGACCTCAGGGTCTCTGGTGCAGAAAATCCTGATCAGTTGTCATCAGAAAGTGCTCCTGTGCTGTCTCTTCTTCCTCAGCCTGTTCCTTTGATGTGGACAGTCTCACTTCTCAGCTGGCAATACCTCTAATGGCAAAGATGCATTGTGATGTTAAAGGGAGATATCTAGTTCTCCCTGCCAATGGAAGCTGCAGGAAGCAGTGGCCCAGCCCATTGGCTGAGAACGGTATACTACAGCCTCTGAGAGCTGTGAGCAGTAGTGTCTGTAGCTGCTCAGGAAAACAAAACATCTTATGGCCAATAAGCTGCTTACTCTTACAAGCTGCGATCCAAAGTTTGAAAACCCCTGACTTAGGGTCATGGTCAATGATTTACACCTTTGAAAATAAATCCAAGGTTTTCTGCTATTACTTTATCTCCAGAAGACCTAGGGATCCTAATTCCTGGTGTTCTCCATCATGGGCCCCCTGCTCCTTGTGCTTACTAGCACCTTTGGTACTACAGTGTACAGGACGTGGGCTTTTCAATCTATAAGTGGAGCAGCATTTGCATCACATTTAA